ATTGAATAGCAGTTAGTTGTCTCAAAGCGAGTGTGTCAGGCTCACAGTGGATACTGTGCCCAGTGCCTTCACTCACTCACTGGTGTCACAATAGCTTGCATTTAAAACCCAAAAACTTTTTTCACTGTTATAGATTGAATAGCAGTTAGTTGTCTGCCAGCGTCTGTGTCAGGCTCACAGTGGATACTGTGCCCAGTGCCACCACCCACTCACTGGTGTCACAATAGCGTGCATTTAAAACCCAAAAACGTTTTTCACTGTTATAGATTGAATAGCAGTTAGTTGTCTCAAAGCGGGTGTGTCAGGCTCACAGTGGATACTGTGCCCAGTGCCACCACTCACTCATTGGTGTCACAATAGCTTGCATTTAAAACCAAAAAACTTTTTTAACTGTTATAGATTGAAAAGCAGTTAGTTGTCTCAAAGCGGGTGTGTCAGGCTCACAGTGGATATTGTGCCCAGTGCCACCACTCACTCACTGGTGTCACAATAGCTTGCATTTAAAACCAAAACACTTTTTTCACTGTTATAGATTGAATAGCAGTTAGTTGTCTGCCAGCATCTGTGTCAGGCTCACAGTGGATACTGTGCCCAGTGCCACCACTTACTCACTGGTGTCACAATGGCGTGCATTTAAAAACCCAAAAACTTTTTTCTCTGTTATAGATTGAATAGCAGTTAGTTGTCTCAAAGCAGGTGTGTCAGGCTCACAGTGGATACTGTGCCCAGTGCCACCACTCACTCACTGGTGTCACAATAGCTAGCATTTAAAAACAAAAAACTTTTTTCACTGTTATAGATTGAATAGCAGTTAGTTGTCTCAAAGCGGGTGTGTCAGGCTCACAGTGGATACTGTGCCCATTGCCACCACTCACTCACTGGTGTCACAATAACTTGCATTTAAAACCAAAAAACTTTTTTCACTGTTATAGATTGAATAGCAGTTAGTTGTCTGCCAGCGTCTGTGTCAGGCTCACAGTGGGTACTGTGCCCAGTGCCACTACTCACTCACTGGTGTCACAATAGCGTGCATTTAAAACCAAAAAACTTTTTTCACTGTTATAGATTGAATAGCAGTTAGTTGTCTCAAAGCGGGTGTGTCAGGCTCACAGTGGATACTGTGCCCAGTGCCACCACTCACTCACTGGTGTCACAATAGCTTGCATTTAAAACCCAAAAACTTTTTCACTGTTATAGATTGAATAGCAGTTAGTTGTCTCAAAGCTGGTGTGTCAGGCTCACAGTGGATACTGTGCCCAGTGCCACCACTCACTCACTGGTGTCACAATAGCTTGCATTTAAAACCAAAAAACTTTTTTCACTGTTATAGATTGAATAGCAGTTAGTTGTCTGCCAGCCTCTGTGTCAGGCTCACAGTGGATACTGTGCCCAGTGCCACCACCCACTCACTGGTGTCACAATAGCGTGCATTTAAAACCCAAAAACGTTTTTCACTGTTATAGATTGAATAGCAGTTAGTTGTCTCAAAGCGGGTGTGTCAGGCTCACAGTGGATACTGTGCCCAGTGCCACCACTCACTCAGTGGTGTCACAATAGCTTGCATTTAAAACCAAAAAACTTTTTTAACTGTTATAGATTGAAAAGCAGTTAGTTGTCTCAAAGCTGGTGTGTCAGGCTCACAGTGGATATTATGCCCAGTGCCACCACTCACCTCACTGGTGTCACAATAGTTTGCATTTAAAACCCAAAAAACTTTTTTCACTGTTATAGATTGAATAGCAAAGCTAGTTGTCTGCCAGCGCCTGTGTCAGGCTCACAGTGGATACTGTGCCCGTGCCACCACTCACTCACTGGTGTCACAATAGCTTGCATTTAAAACCAAAACACTTTTTTCACTGTTATAGATTGAATAGCAGTTAGTTGTCTCAGAGCGGGTGTGTCAGGCTCACAATGGATACTGTGCCCCGTGCCACCACTCACTCACTGGTGTCACAATAACGTGCATTTAAAAACCCAAAAACTTTTTTCACTGTTATAGATTGAATAGCAGTTAGTTGTCTCAAAGCGGGTGTGTCAGGCTCACAGTGAATACTGTGCCCAGTGCCACCACTCACTCACCACTGGTGTCACAATAGCTTGCATTTAAAAAAAAAAAAAAATACACTGTAATAGATTGAATAGCAGTTAGTTGTCTTCAAAGCCGCCTGTGTCAGGCTCATTAGTGATAGCCATGTTTCAGTGCCACCACTCACCACTGGTGTCACAATAGCCTGTACTTAAAACCAAAATCTTTTCTTTCAATTGTTATAGATTGAATAGTAGTTACAGTTGTCTGCCAGCTTCTGTGTCAGGCTCACAGTGGATACTGTGCCAAGTGCCACCACTCACTCACTGGTGTCACAATAGCTTGCATTTAAAAAACAAAAAACTCTTTTCACTGTTATAGATTGAATAGCAGTTAGTTGTCTCAAAGCGGGTGTGTTAGGCTCACAGTGGATACTGTGCCCAGTGCCACCACTCACTCACTGGTGTCACAATAGCTTGCATTTAAAACCCAAAAACTTTTTTCACTGTTATAGATTGAATATAAAAGTGGCCTCTTTGAGAGAATTATTTCCCACAATCAGAACAAAAATAAGGTTTCTTTCCTGTATGGCTCCTCAAATGATGCTTAAAGGACCACTATAGTGCCAGGAAAACATACTCGTTTTCCTGGCACTATAGTGCCCTGAGGGTGCCCCCACCCTCAGGGTCCCCCTCCCGCCCGGCTCTGGAAGGGGGAAAGGGTTAAAAACGTACCTTTTTCCAGCGCTGGGCGGTGAGCTCTCCTCCTTCTCTCCTCCTCCGTTCCTCCTCCTAGGCTGAATGCGCAC